TCGGTGACCGATCGATCGGCACACCTCTAGTTTTTAGCCATAAAACACCATAGGGATTCTATTGGTTATTATCATGAGGAAAATGAGAGACACCAGATCCAGCCATGCAGAGAAGCTGAAGATCATCATTAAAGCAATATTGCCTTGTTAACACCTCAGCAGTGCCACTAGCCAATCACCTCCTTACTGCATTGCACTGATGCAACAATTTGTGCTAAAACATGAGTCCGTACACTATTGAATGCATGGATATCACAGGATTGACATTTCTTTTTCTTTTCACATAATATTCAAATCTTCTGAAAAACTGAATTTTTGGTTTTCATTAACTATAAGAAAATCACCGAAATTAACAAAAATAAACATTTAAAATGCATCACTCTGGATAATTAATCAATACATAAGTTGAACATTCAGAATTGAATTACTGAAATAAATTAGTAATTTTATTTATTTATTTTTTAATTCATTACTTCCACCTCTAAATGAACCATGTGACAACCACTACTGTAGGCCACAATAGCAACTTCAGTCCTAAACACAAAACATGATTTTGTTCTACTGAAATAATTAGACACACCTTGGAGAAAAATTTAAACTTAAAAACCACAAAGAAGAAATGAAGTGTGAACAATATGAGGCGCAGAACTGAGGAGAAGAAAATGTTACCTTGACAATTGGATGGCCACCAGAAGCTGCTTTGACAGCTCCTCGGCTGCCTTCAGTCTCATAGTGTGCACGGTGGTGGGCTTTGGGTTGCACCTCTATCTTCAGCTCATACTGGCCAAACTGGCTGGGTAACGGCCAGTCTAAAGGAGGAAGCGAGGTTGTCCTGAGGAGACACAAACGCAAGTATACAGATTAACACCCACACAGAGTGGTAGAGGAAATTAGACCTCTGGCAACAAACTCGACAAGTGCAAAAGTTGTGTCTAAGATGTGGTCAAAAGCGTCAAAGGCAACCCTAACAAAAAGGTCAGGAGTGTCATGAGATAATACAAAAACTAAGAGCAAATAGAACCTGTAGTATTGATTATAACGTTTTATCAATGCTGGAAGAAAAACTCATAAAAATGTTACCAAATTTGAATTGTATGCATAAAAGCCATCGCCTGACTAGTGGCTGGCTATCTGAAAAAAATGTCTAAAACGTGGGTATTCCCCTGTCAAGGACTGACATGGTGCAGTCGGTGACAAATGGTAATGTATAATGCATTGTTCTTTCTCCCATCAGGCAGTGAATCACTGGAATGCCCACATCTGCTCGCTTAGTTCTTTAAGCATAAACCTTGTAATAGGTCATGTTAAGACTCAAAGTGTGAATCATTTTCTAAGAGGGACTTTTCTATCTGAGTCTAACATTTTAACGTGTGGGTCAGAGAATGGGTGGAAGGACAAGGGTGTGAGTTAGACAGTACATAAATGACTATCTAAGTCTGCGTGCATACTGTAGTACAGCGTGTTTTATGTCCAGGACACCAGAGGGGGTGGCATTGTGTGTTTTTCCTCAGTGCCTCTTTTTTTGTTATCTGAGTAGGCTACAATCATATTTGAACAGCTGTACATATAAAACACTGAATAGAGGTCTACATAGAGAAACTGGGTCCGTCCACCTGAGTGAAACAGATTAATTTAGCAGCAAACCATGAACACATCCTTAACCTTTTCATTTTGGTTTCATGGCCTACCTCCTGGATTACCCTTTATTTATGTGTGGCATTACTTATAGTGTGGCACTACTTTTCAGGAAAACATTTTTTTCTTTCATTTTTCTGACCTCAGATGCAAGACTTAATAAGCAATTATAAAAAATGATTGAGAAAACTACAAATGAACTAAATGGGGTATAACAGTATAGTAGAAGCTTCAACCGTGAAGGATATACATGATGAAATTATAGAGCTAAAAAACAAAAGAAAATCTTGAAAGAAATAATTCTTATTACACCTATACATTGATATTCAAAGTCCATAAGTAATCTTAAAACACACGTCTCAGTTACAAAAAGAAGCTTTGAGTCATTTCTGCTACAACAGGTAGCACCCAGGTACCACATCTGGATGACAATGTAGTCATGTCCAATGTTATCATTTCAAAGTATTTGTTGGGACTCCCAGTTGCCTGCTCCTCACTCATGAAACACAATATAAAATCTTTATTTTATTAACTTTAATTTGAGATCAATACTGCCATCACTACTTTATTTCTTCTTCAGTCATTGCGCTTCGCATTGATGCCCGAGTTTGGCACTTAAAATGTAACGCCATCCCTCTTTTACAATTTTGGCTTTCTGCTCACTTTTTTTTTTTTTTTTTTTGCAATTTTACACATCTCTTGAATTTAGACATGGAAATATCCCAACCTGCAAGTCTGAAAACAACTTAAAAGAAAAAGTTTTAAAAATTATGATAGATGCCCTTCCATATCAAAAGAACATCCAACTAATTTAAAATAGTATTTACAACTACATAGATGTGTACTAACCAACAGAAATGTTAACCTTTGTCTTTCTTATAGCAGCCCGAAAGTTCTTGTAAATGTCAAATTTTGAGTCTCAATCATCAAGTAATTAAAATTTTCTTTAACAGCAGGTAACAATTAGGATCTACCACTTAGACAAGGTATTAAGTCATCCACTCCTGGCATAAGTCATCACATAACCACCAATGAAGCATGTGGTTACATGGCCTCCATAGCAACAAAAACAGAACAGGGAAAATATGAGCTGTGATGGGAGGGAAGGGATAGACCATCTCCTCACAAAGCATAACCTTTCTCAAATGTCTGTATTACATGCATGATGTACCCGGCCAACTGCATTCACAGATCCTTGATTTCCTACAGTCTGAGTTGCAATTAAATTTCTACATCTTACCCCTAGCTCAATTAATGTTCTGGCACGTTTTGTTCCACAAAATAAGGTAAAACTGTTATCGCTGTTTTTGTAAAACATGAAATCATGAATTAATAAATGAGGTTGAGGGCACTGCAGCTTTTTTTCTGTTGTGCTATAATTTTATTTTAACTGGATCATGGAAATCAATTCATAATTTCTACGCGACTCACTCGGTACAATTAAGTTTTAAAAATAAAAACATGGACCATAACAATAAAACCAACTCCAGAGGTCATAACATGAAGATATATTTTTCATTCTAAATGTTATACTATTTTTGTTTTGCATTTCCCTTTTTATCATTTCAGCTAAATGTCAAAACCTATTTACAGTCCTGACATTTTCCTAAGTGAAATTTACTTTTGCTTCAATCCAGTTTTTGGTGCACAACTAATACCAGCTATCCATCATTTTTTTCCCTTTACCGATTCTGTTTTTCTTTTTTTGTCACTCATGTTTCTGTCATCAAACAAACTTTAGAATCAGAGGAAAATCCATCCAACTATTATCTACACCTGCTTTCCCTGGGGGACTGGTCCCTATCCAGCGGTCGGTCAGTGGAGGAGAGGCAGCTGGATATATAACTGGACAAGTCCTCTATCCATCACAGTCAAACAATAATGTACGTTATGTGAAATATGGTTTCATTTCAGAGATAAAAACCTTTCAGAGATGGCCTGTCTAGTGCGCTTTGGACCGTTGTCTCGCTTTATAACCCAAGTTGCAGGTTTAAATTTAAGAACTGATGGCTGGACAACCTCCACATAATATTTAACTCAAAGGTTTTGGGGATTACCAAAATGTGCTTTAGCAAATATTTCGACAGTGCAAGGTCTTGCCTTAGGGTTCTCCTGTGGATTCTTTCTCAGTTCTCTTTCTTATCATTCAATCATAAACACCGTTCTTAAGCTTTAGATGTTAGTCTTGGTTCTTTCGTCACCTCCTGAATGATTTGTTGATATGCTTTTGAGGTAAATTTGATAGCCACACCTGGAAAGATTTCTTTTCTTTCGTGGATAATGGCTTGTGCTGATTTGCGGGGGTCTCAAAGCCTTAGAAATGTGTTTGTAATCCTGTCCAGACTGAAAAATGTCAATAACCTTGTTTTTCTTCTTGTCTTGAATTTCTTTAGATCAGGGAACAAGATATTTTAGCCTATTTCAAGTTTTCTGACTAGTTCAATTTAAGTGATTTCTTCATTCTAAACATCAGGCATTAATCACTCCTGATTGTAGTGAGTGCAACTAAACCAATAAAAAAAGGTAAATCAGTTAATCCATGATTAAATATTACTGTATATTTTAACACAGGGTGAGGTTTGCTTTAGGTAGTTTAATCCCTTGATAATTTAAATCTACTATATAAGGAGGCAAACACTTTTTACAGCCCTACAAGACATTTTGTGCCATAGTAAGAAACTGACAATTCCAGCCATTTCTTCCTTCAGTCCCCTCTCACCCAACCCCACCCATTCCACCTGAGCCATCTGTTCAAATCATGACTGACACACATGCAAGCATAGACAACTCAACATCCTATTTCATGGCTTCATGAAAGCCCCTTGACTTTCCTCTGTATAAGCAACATCTGCTGTGGGAACATACACCTACCAACAAAGGTACAATTGAGTTTAAATTGTGACTCATCATAGATGTGACCCCGTTTTTGTCTGGACGGTGATAGGTCTACGTGAATAAGTGTTTGTGTTATGTCTACAGACGTGTCTGTGTGTGTGTGTGTGTGTGTGTGTGTGTGTGTGTGTGTGTGTGTGTGCCTGCCCCTTTGCCATATGTGCCCTGTGCTGATTTACAGCGCTAGGGGCCAGTGCACACAAACAAGGCCTCATCTTCATCTGCCACACACATTGGAGAACAGACAGCCAACTCCTCCTCCTCTCCTGTTGGTGTGTAGCTTTTCTTGTGTATTCTTCTTCACACACTAATAAACCCGAATTTTAACATGCAGCTCAAAGTTCCCTCATAACTGAACAATAAAGACAATGAACAGACATGTTACCTAACAATGTAACTGATACACATTAACTAGAATAAAATGTTCACTCTTCAAAAAGAGATGATTTTTATCTTTATGGCGAGTCACAGTACTCATTAACGAATTCAACACAATTAATATCTTAGCCTTTGACCTAGACTGCCTGTCTACTAAGTGATAATCACCTTGTCTCCAGGTTAGTTCCAAACTGCTGCAGTGTCAAAAATCCAATTCTTATGCATTTTTGGGAGATTTTATGTGAAAAGCAAACACAAAGTAGTACATTTTTTGTATATTTACAGACTGAAAGTTGTTGCTGATTTGAAGTTGTTGGACATTTTTTTTTAAAATCTAAATCAGTCCATGGCAGCTTCTAGTTGTATGTTTCAGGTTGTTTTGTTGATAGATGAACTCTGACCAGCTTCCCTATCCCTGCAAGCAACCCCACACAGCATGATGCGTCCTCCATCATGCATCACCACTGGGAGGGTGTTGTCGTTAGGATCTGCAGTGTTAGTCGTTTTTTTTTTTGTTTGTTTGTTTGTTTTTTACCATACTCAGCATTTTGAATCTGTGCCAAAAAGTTTAATGTTGGTTTAATCTGAACAAGACCTTATTCTACCTGCATGCTTACCTTAGATGCCCTGTGGCAAACTGCACATGGGACTTTCAATAATCCCTTTGTTGAGCGTACACCTCATTGCTCCAGGTAATAATGCTGTCCTTACCTGACCTGTCAGTTTAGGTGGACAAATATATCATAGTGGGCCTGCAGTTGTGCCATACTCTTTTCTTTTTTGGATGATGATTAGAACCTTGCTCATAACCAAATGCTGCTTAAAACTTACCCACAATTTCATCTCTGAGGTTTGATCTAAGTGCGAGTAAAGTGGCACTGTTAGTCTTTATGCTTATTGTTCACTAATGTTCTCTAACAAGCTTAGGAAACGTTCATAAGGTCTTCATGAAAGTACGCCAAGTCTACTCAAGTAGACTTTTTTTTTCTTACAAGTTGGGTAACTTGTAATTTGTTATCTGCTGCCTATTTTTTAATACAGTATGGTTACATAATAATTTCTTCATACCTTTCAAAGGTTCCTAATAGTTTGAGGAATTATCCTACAATTAATTTTGCTTCTCCGCTTCAAAATCAGCTACCTTACCTGAAAATAGGTGTATGACCAGGCTTGGGTTTATTCCAAGAGAAGTGCGAGGGCACAGACAGAAACTGTTCTGCAGGACCATCTTTCCTGTGCAGCGTGTCGTCTGGAGGAGAATCGAGGTTAGAAGACAGAATTTCCTGGTCATCTAAAGCCATCTCTCCTTTCCCTGTCTGCAGAGATGTTCTATCCTGTGAGGTCTTCCTTGTCTTTGATGGGATGTCTGTCTCAGATGGGCAGCACTGAAAAGGTGACATGCCCATAGTGGGACTCCCAGCCCATGTGTCCTCTGTCACGCTCCCCCTGGGGGAATGTCCTGGCGTGGGTGTAGGTGAGTGATGAGGAGACAGGGAACCGGGATAGCAAATGTCGGCACTGGAGTGTCGCCTTTTCCCGCAGGGTGAGGTTGGTCGCGAAGAGGGCCTCGAAGGAGACCGTGGACTAAGCCAATTTTCATCAGTGACGCTATTGCGTGGTGAATGGCAGGGGGACTGTCGAGGAGAAAGAGTGGAGTGAGTGTGATGCACAAAGGGGGGATGATGGTGCTGCCATGGGGACTGCTCCTCTAGAACTCCCCCAACAGCCTGCGGTGACACACAAACTGGAGAAGTCAGAGGGGAGCCCAGACTAAACCTTGCAGCTGCTTCATTCAGCTCTGAGTCAACATCATCATAGACATGTGAAAACGATTCACAAGATGAAGCATCAGAGAACCAGCTCCTAGAGGAGAGGCTGCTGCAGGGGCTAGGGCTGAGCGAAGAGTCCCTGTATGAGTGGTCCAGTGGCAAATATAGATGGTCTCTGGACAAGGGTCTGTCGCCGTGGTAATCCCCATCAGGACCATTGGCTGTCAGCTCCCCCTCACTGGCATCTAGCTCTTGCTGGCAACTGGGGGAGATGGAGGTGATCTGGATACTGGGGCACTCAAAGGCTTTTGGTGCCTCCACAGGAGCAGAGGGCAGCAGCGATGAGGTGCCATACTTGGAGCCTTGTGCCTCGTAGCTTAGGTGCTCAGTTCCTGTTTTATGTGATGGAAGTCGCGGTGAAGTGCTGATGACCTGAGGATGGGAGTGCATGCCATGACGAGGCAGGCCAATAGACTGGTGGTTCGTGACCATAGACTGGGGCTGGCCCACATTAACGATGTAGAATGATGTGTTGTCATCATGCTCCAGATCTACAATAGATAAAAAAGGGATTATTACCATACTGGAATACTGAAGACACCACATTTTAGACATGTTATTGCTTCTCAAGCTTCATGTCAAGTAACCTGTCTGATATTTGAAAGACGTTTGCGTGTTGCGGCGGAAAATTACCTCAGGGGTGAAACAAGTCAAAATGCATGAACACAACGAAACTAATATGGTATTAAAAAAACTAGCACTTGACGGAGTTTGGCTATAATTGAGGCTCATTGCAGGAAAAAAAAGGACATCCAGAGCGGCCAGATAGCAGGTAAAGCAGTGCACAACTAACACTCACCCGGATGAGCATCAGAAAGCTAAACAAATAACCCGAAAAATAACTCAAGTCTTCAAGCTGGCGTTGTAAGACGCTGGTTCTGCCCTCGCTCTTGGACCGCCGTTATGCGCTACTGGTAGTAATATTTCACCAGACAGTGAACTCTCACACCGAACGTCTGCTTAAAGCTGCAGCATGTAACTTAAAAAAAAAATATAAGATTTTAGAAATGTATTAAAATATGTCTCATGTCTAAATTAGGTGAATTAACATCCACTCCAGGCGATTGGTGATTGGCAGAGATTGGCCTCATGGATGATTGGTATTGGAAACAGCAGCAAAAGGCCTGATCGGAGCATCCCTACAAAATATTTATTTGTTATGGAAGACACTTGTGACTAAAACAATCACAGGTGTTTTGATCAAATAAGTATTGACTTGCCTATTTGCAGACAGAAAGTTAATAAAATGGATACAACAATCTGATGTGTAACAATGCCAAAATGTTTCAGTTGTTGACTTTGTGTTCTATGACTTTGTATTTTTGCATTTTTATGATGTAAAGTACTCAGATGCCTTTTTTCTGAAAAGTTCTAAACAAATCAAATTTGATTTGATACACAATGGTGTCAGCTGCAAATCATTTTCCCCTCAGCAATTTAGGTAGTTTCATAGCTGACTTTTCTTAGTAACAAAACAGAAC